TCTTGGATCTTTATGGGCTAAATTTGGGGACAGGATCATGTATGACACTACTTTGAATTTTAGAGTAAGTAGGATCATTTCCAATTCTTCGTGGAGGTGGCCTACTTCCATCGCTGTGGACATATGTGACCTGATCCAGTCTACCCGTCAGGCTCTCATCCCTAGGTCTGGCCCAGATAAGCTGATGTGGACTCTATCTACTGATGGGCTGTTCTCTACCAAATCTGCTTGGAATGCTTGGAGAGTCTCCTTTGAGAAAGTTGAGTGGTCTAATTTGGTTTGGAGTGCTGTGGTTGTTCCTAAGGCTAGCTTTATCACTTGATTGGCCATCCAGAATAGATTGAATACAGGTGATAGGCTGAGATTGTTTGGTATTTCCACTATTGCCACTTGCCCCTTATGCCTTTACCACACTGAGGACCACTCACACCTGTTTTTTAACTGCCCTTTCTCTGAGAAGGTGTGGATGAATATTAAATCTAAGATCAATGTGGCTTGGCCTGTGTTACATTGGTCTAGGCTGGTGTCTTATATTGTTAAATCTGTTAAGGGTAATTCTCTTGGCTCTATTATTTCCAGGCTTGCTCTTAATTGCACTGTTTACCTCATTTGGCTTGAGAGAAATAATCGAGTTTTTACAAAAAAAAAATTCCTGAAGAAGTTCTTGTTTTGAACATTGTTAATATGGTCAGATTTAGAGTGTTGTCTCCGAAAAATTTAAAAAGAAATTCAAATGATTCATGGTTTTTAGCCACTTGGAGACTGCCCTCATCTATCCTTAGGGGTGATTGAGGCGAGCAGTGAGTTAAGTGTGGTGTGATTCCATATTGAGGGTTGAGTGAATTGTGAGCTATTACATGTTTTTCCTAACAGTTTGCTATGCAGTTTTGTCATGCTGGCCCTTCTTAGGGATTGAGGGTTGAGTGTGTTGTAAGCATATAGTCAGGTGGTGGTCTTTAGTGAGCTTGTGGGTTGAGTGTTGTGAAATCCTATATGAGTGCTCCTAACTTTCTCTTGCAGGTTTATATCAGTTGCTGGCACAATCGTAGGGAGTTCTTTGGTGAGAGCCTAGTGAAGTGAGGATATATTTTTGGATTGGTTTTTAAATGTGGTTCTTTCACCTGTTCTTTGAGAGTGACTCTGCTTCTGAGTGTTAAGATTGTTAGTACATATATGAGTGAGGTTTGCCTTAGGTTATGTTCCATTTCCTCGTGTTTTTTTTTTTATTATTTTTTTTATTTTTGTGGAGTGTGATTGTCAGTGGGCCAGGCAGCACTTTTCTGCACCAGTTCCAGCACATATCTGCTCCTATGGTTATCTTGGAAAGGGTCCTCTGTTGGTCTAGGTTGCTTCATGGTGATATTCCAGTTTCAGAGCTTTGGGACAGTCGTGCCTCTTGTTGGTATTGAAGAAGGATGCTTGTCTTGCTGTCTTGGCTGCTAGTTGTGCCAGTCCGAGTACATGCTCTCCTATGGACAGTTTTATGTGTTACTTTGTACTTATAGCTTTCTCTGGTTTCTTCTTTACTCTTGGATACTATATGTCCTCTTTTAGATTTGTATTTATTAGTTAGCCTGCTTTGGATGTGTTGTGGGCCTCTGCTTTGGATGTATTTTTCTGCGGGTTGTGCAATTCTCTTATTTAGTGTCTTGTTAGACCCTTTGTCTAGTTTCATTGCTGCTATTTTTGCTCCTTGAGGAGGTGAATGGAGATTTTGTTTTGTTCTATTATGGGCCTGTTCTTGGCCCTATCTATCTTTCATGGGATTTTGAATGGGGCAATTAGATTTATGTTGTAGCCTCTGCTTCCTCTTAAGTTTTTTTGTGTATTTGTCTAGTTAGCTAGCCGCTCGTGTGCTTCTGTGGCTTTGTTTAGTTTGGTAGGTCCTGGGGTATGCCCCTTGTATTCTTGTATTTGCCCGTTTGCTGTTTTATTTTATGACCTACTCACCAAAAAAAAAAAATGTGAGCAGTGAAGCAGTGAACTGTATGCATTGGTTTGGGGATATCGTGGACCCGAAGGGTAATGACATCAATGGCAAAGATCTTTATGTCCTCATTCATGACTCTGATCAAGGTATGTATGATATCTTGCCCAATTTCTGTTCATGCATCTATGATTGATTAATACTAATTGAGATTAATTTGATGTGCAGTTCGTAATTGTAAGTTGACACATAAAAGCAGAAGTGTCATTGCAATTGCAGCAGCTGCCATCTCTATTGGATTGCTTCTTATTTGCAGCTTTGGCTATGTCTCGAGGACAAGGATGAGAAGCCGAGGTATATTACATGCTTTTGCGCTTGTAGTTTCTCATGCATGATTTTGCTTCACTGATTACTCTGAATCCAGGGAGGGTAGATCGAAGTGCACATGAGCTTGATGCCAACTCTAAAGCTTCGGTTGATGATTCAAATAATGGAGAATTGTTGTAGTTCAGTTTGAGAAGTATATTAGCTGCTACTGACAACTTTTCTGAAGCAAACAAACTTGGAGAGGGTGGGTATGGCCCTGTTTACAAGGTAACACATTTCCATAATTGTGATATATATTCAAGTACTGGGAGTTGTGAAAAATTCATACATATCATCCTTTTCTTTTCTTTTTTAAATTCAGGGGTATTTCCCTGAAGTGCAAGAAGTAGCCATAGAAAAGCAATCAAAAACATCATTACAAGGAACAAAAGAGTTTATGAATGAGTTGAAATTAATTGCCAAACTCCAACATAAAAATCTTGTCAGGCTTTTGGGTTGCTGTGTTGAACAAGAGGAAAAGATACTGATCCACAAGTATATGTGCAATGGAAGCCTAGACAAATTGCTATTTTGTACTATAAGTTTTATAGTCTTTGATTTTCAATTTGCCATCACTGATTTAGTATTGGTTTTCCATTAGATCCTTCTAAGCAAGCCAATCTGGACTGGACTAAACGCTTCCAGATCACAGAAGGGATTGCTCAAGGTCTAATCTACCTGCGCAAGTATTCTAGATTGAAAGTCATTCACAGGGATTTAAAAGCAAGCAATATTCTGTTGGATGAAGCAATGAATCCCAAAATTTCAGACTTTGGAACTGCAAGGAGTTTTGGAATAAATCAAATTGAAGCAAATACCAGGCCGGTTGTGGGCACATAGTAAGAATAGCAGATATTCCCATTTGTATGAATTTTGAATGAGATAACCTTATTTGTACTGATGCTACCACTACTATTTCATCAACATGGTTACATGTCACCAAAATATGCATTGTACGGTAGATTTTCTGAAAAATCAGATGTATTTAGCTTTGGAGTGTTAATGTTAGAGATCGTGAGTGGCTAGAGCAACACTAGTTTTCATCTCACCAAACTCTTGCTAACCCTTTTAGGATGGGTAAGCATCCTGTCTCTTTGGTTATCCTCTTACGTTGGTTGTTGGTTAGTTGGATATATAAGATAATTAATTAGTTTTGAAATTTTAATTTTTGATGGCTTTGACTCTTTACTGTGTAAAGGCATGGGAGAATTGGAAACAAGGTAGCTATTTGGAGCTCATTGATCCGTTAATAAAGGATACAGGCAACTTCAAGGGGGCATTGAAGAGTATTGCTGTGAGGCTTTTGTGTGTTCAAGAATTTCCGGGTGATCGACCAACAATGTATGATGCAGTTCTCATGTTAAGCAATGAAAACGCCTCGGTTCCATCACCCAAAGAACCAGCCTTTTCAACTTGTAGGAGTTCTAAACACTGTCAACTATCCTTCTCAAACGTCGAGTAGCTATTCCAACAATGAGGTGACAATTAGCATGCTAGAGGCTCGATAGAGGCTTGGTAGAAGCTCTCAATTTTTCTATTTTCATTTGAAGTATTTATGTTATGGTAGTAGTATTAACAGGTGCAGAAGCATACAGATGATGAAATCGCTGCCTACTCAGTCTCAAGTTTTATTGAATAAATCAGATTCCATCAAACTCAAGTGCCTTTTTAAAAATTTTCCATTCAAGTCTTCTCAGGTTCCAAGTGCCAATCTAAAATTTTCGCACCGAATCTTCTTAGGTGTTCCTGCATCTTTCCTTTCAGTTATTGTGCATGATCAAGGGTAGCTGTCATAAGTCAAACATGTGTTTCGAATAATTATTGAAGCTGTCCATGCTCAACCCGGTTGAGGCCTATTCTCTACTAATCTTCTTCTACCAATAATTGGACGAGGTTTGTCATCATAATAATTTGATTAGTGGTCGATCTGCTAGCATAATCTCTTTTCTTTTTTCTTTTTTTTCGCGCCTTTAAATATGCATTGGATGAGACTGCATCAAATTTTCTTTTTAAATCTATGTTGAATTTGTGAAGGGCTTACTTTAGATGACTGAAAATTTTAATGTAGTCTTTTTTGACAGTTGAAATTGAGAATCTGAGATAGATCTTGGATGACTTCTCACAATCGTAGATTGTAGTAAATTTCAAAAAGCTTGGAATTAGCAAGTTGTTTGACATGTTGATTTGTTTTGATCTGAAGTCATCTATCTAGGATTAATAATCCAAGTTGGTTCTGAAAATTTTACCAATTTAATCTATCTGTTTTTTTGGAAAAACACTAGTTTAATTTTAATTGACTATAAAAACCAGTAACTTACTAGGAAGCCACTCACAAGCTATAGAAATCAGTTGTATTCAGCAGTTCGACCCATTCAAAGATGGAAAACATTTTTTATCATTCTGTCGACTTCAGAATCAGATCATAATTGATAAGTTCGATAGTTTTCTTTAAACCAGAAACAATTCACAAAACATATTGGTAAACTCAAAATGTGACATGTTCTGTTTTTACGTTAGTACTTTTTTCATTTCTTTCAGAACAATCGCTCTAATGTCATAATAAAATGATATAAATTTATTTATTTAAAAAAAAAATTCAAAATGGCTCATCAACAATAACAATTCCACAAGCTTATGGTAGGATAATTGCTTTACCGATTCTCGATCAATTGGATTTGCATTGAAATCTTTGGAAGACTCCAATTTTTGTTATTACGAATGGAATTTATCTTCTTTACCAAATTGTTCTTCACTCTATGACTGAATCGCAAATTTATATCTATTTATTATCTGACCAGAATGGCAAAAGCAATTTTGAATACATTCTTATGTTTTGTTTGAATCTCATTATAATCAAAATGAATGCAGAAAACTTTTAATATAAATATTACAAATTCACCCTTATCAACTTAAATTTTTTTTTAAATTTTCATCTTGTAGTTTAGATTTATTTTATATATGAATTCCACACTACACAAATTTAATCTCAACTATACATTTCTATTTAAGATAAATTCATGGTGATTAAGGTGGGTTAATATATTCCATAAAACTATACAGTAATAAATATTAGCCCTTAAAACAAAAATAACACCAAACCATTAGGCATCTAGGCTGCCAACCCATGTTCCCCAACCAATCGGACATTATTCGGCATAATCATGTGAAAAGATCTTATTCGGTATTAGGCTATTTAGCATGAGAAAATTCAACTTCTTTTTATTTTATTTTTAAAATTATCTACTAATGAGGAACCTTAAAACAAATGATCATATCTGAAAAAAGTGATGAATGAGGAACCTTTAATGTTTATATTGACAATATGAATATTTTGTGATATGAATATTTACACTGTCAAATATGAATGTTCACATCATCAAATTGCTAACAGTTCAAAAAATATTTATAAGGGTAAAATTGTCCGTAAAATATTTAAATATGAAAATTAGGATTTGATAAATTAAATTTTTAAATAATAGGATTTATTAAAATATAAAAATATATTACGGACTAATTGAGATACAATACAAGTATTTGAAAGAGAATTTCTTAATAAATTTCCCTTGATTTAAATATAAAAGAAGTTCTAACAAAATGAAAATAAACTGATTTTTTTGCAAGCCAAAATAACAAATCTATCTATATCTATTATATAAATGTGTGAGTGATTTTCCGATCACACTGCCCAACTTAGTATTCAGCTGGAGAGAATTGGCAGAATAGATGACACCTGGCTAACCGGCAACAGAAAGAGAAGATTTCGGCAGTGGTTCGTCCACCCGGGGGCACTTCGACGATCAAGTTAGTATATCTCTCAGAGATAATCAATAGTGCAAATCTCACTGTTCAGAATATAAATTGCGTACCTTAGACCCATGGGGGTGCCTCCCTTTTATAGCCAACATAATCTTAGTCCCAATAGAAACCTAGCTCTAATGGACTTAGGATTACTGCTAATCTTGGACTCCCAGTAGGATTAGGATAAACTCTCTAAGAGTCTCATCTTTATCCAACTAAAGTCTTCTCTCATTCTAGGACTCTTGTCCCTTATCCGCTTATCTCGAATTCTGATATTTTCGACGGTAACCTCGACGTCATGACCAAGACACATGGCACCTTAGCTGACACGTCGGCGTCACCTTAGCCACGTATTGGTACTCAAAAAATATATCCCCACAACTGCCCTCTAGGTTCTATTACCTCGGCCGTTGAGGTGATGAAACCTATATCATTCCTTCCTGCCAGTACATCGGCCTAGCCAAGATCATCATCATAGGCCGATAAGTCTTTTTCAGAGATAAAGAATTCCAAGAGCTTCTTCATGCGTATGAGCTGTTATGCATAACAACTCAACCGTTTAGCCACATGTTTTCTCCTTACTAGATCGTACTCTGGACGCGCTTATAAGTCGTTTCGCACCTACATGTGCCGTCTGATACATTCGTTGTTCCAAGCGCATTAATTGCCCTCTTTTGCCGCCATTTCAAGTTTTTGACAAAACTTGTTTCCCCCTTTCGTTTTTTTTTACTTTACATTGTCTTCATTCAGAACTTTTTCTCTCTCTAGCTTTCTCTAATCCTCTATTTTTCCAAGCTTTGAAGCTCTGCCATCGCTACCGTTCACCTCTTCCGGCGTGGTTCTTGCCAATCTGTTCTACCATCGCCGTTCTTCTGACTTCAGCGATCTCAAGCATTGGCTTCTTTTCTCTGGTAAGTCACCATTCCTCCTGGTTTTCAGTTCTTGTTGTGTTCCATGAAATTTTGCTTCATCATTTAGTCGTCATTGCTATTTTATGCGAATATTTGATTTATGAATCATGTATCTGAACATGTTTATTTCATAATTTTTCTCTTTGTCCATGTCTTGAACACTCGCACTGTTCACATGCCTGTTGGTTTCTGCTACTGTTCTTGGCCTGATACACTTGTGCAAACTTTTTGTCTTGATTTCTTGATGTCTTCATCACCACTCTTATTTCTGAAACGGATCCCTGTTTTTCTGTTTTCCAGATTCGTTCCTTCAATCTTCATCTCCATAGCTTTAGGTTTGGGACTTGTTTGTAGAACCCACAATTTTTAGGAAAAACTGAAGCGAATTCCTTCTAGATCCATACAAAACCCTTATCATAGCATATTTGTAGATTTTTAGCCGAGGTCCTTTAAACCCTCCAAAAATACTTCTTCCTGAAATCTAATATCTCCATTTAAGCCGACGTCATGGGTATGTGGGAACATAGGGTAAACACCCCGGAGAAATTAGGGTACTTTAGGCAGGAGTTTGAAATCCCGGCCGACGTTCATCTGAGGTTGGCTGGGGAGGATGACTTTATCATGCCCGATGAAAACCTCATACCTTTCCCAGTGGTTGCGTTTATTGAGTATGGACTTAGGTTTCCACTTGACCCTTTTTTTTCTGTCAAATCCTTCATTTCTATAAGTTGAACCCAATGCAACTTGCCATCAACTCTTACTGAGTTATTAATGGTACCATAGCCTTAGCAAAACAAGAGAATGCTAGGATTACTCTTGCCGACTTCCAGTTCTGCTATACCATGTGTCGCCTGAAATCAGAAAAAGGCCACATCTATTACCTTAAGCCGAGGTCCACGGAATACAAAATTTTTGCTGACCTCCCTAACTCCAACAAGGAAGCGGGTGATGATTACTTCATCGTTTCGGGTAACTGGGAGTTTCAGCCAAATGATGACCTCTATCTTTATCCTTTAAGTCGAACAGTTTTCGGGGAAGGAGCTGGTAAGGGCCATCCTTCACGAGTTTTCTTGCTTTCTTGCATAAAGTTTTCAACATTTTTGCTCTAATGTCTATGCTTCTTTCTATTTTGCAGTTCTCTCTCAACCACCAAAGGGCTTTCGTTAGTCTTTCTTCCCCAGCAAAGACTTGAAGAAACTACTGATTTTACCACTCCACAAGCGGAAGGCCCCTCTGCTTCTTAATTTCATCCCGACGTATAAGTCGGCTCTTTTCGATGTCCCAAAAAAGAAGAAGAAAAGCCTTTCTCCACCTTCTGCCACAACACCACAAGGTGCGTCCACATCTCGGGCAGACCAAGGATCAACCTTAGATCCAGCTGAGCAGCCGTCAACGTCGGCTCCATACTTGATCCTGATATCCCAACGACAACGTTGGCGACAACGATAACTTGTTCTTGCTGCTGAGATGGGCCGCCAAAAACCGGTTGCTAAAGATCTCTTAGCCAGTATTCCCTCTGATGTTGACGCTCAGCCAACACAAACCCAGCCACCTCCAAAGCCAAAATGAATCAAAAAGGCTCAGCCAAAGGCAAAGGTGCCTCAGATCGACTCTGAGGATACCTTGCCAATTTCCAAACTGGCTCCAAGTGAGAAAACTGCCTCTGTCCCTGCGAAAAGGTCCACTAAAACACTTCCATCCGAATCTACCAAATCCAAAAGGTCGAGGTCATCTTCTGCAGCGACCTCGGGGTCTAAAAAGCCTGATGCCCCCTAGGCCCCCGAAATCACTCTGGAAGATGAGCCTGTTATGGCTAGTGATAGTGCCGATGACATCAATGTTAGCATTGCCCTTAGTACTGCTCTGCTTCTTCCAGGCGATCTGGAACGAAACACCAAGTTCAGTGAGTACGAGAACTACGCTCTGATGCTTCAGCGCTCTGTCCAGGTAAGTGTTTTTGCTTGGTACTTTTTCTTTCTTTCTCTTCATTTCATACTTAGAATATTTTCTAATACTTCTGTTTTTCTTTTAGGCCATCCAGTATGCCCACTCTTTCTCAATGTAATCTTTTGAAAACCGTGAGAAGCTAGTCGAAAAGAAGAGGGAGGTCTCCAGCCTTCAAAAAACCAATAAAAACTTGCAATCCAAGATGAAGACCCTGGAAGATCAGGCTAAGGTCGCTATTAAAGCAAAAGACGCAACTGAGGAGAAGGTTGGTACTGCTGAGGTGATAAACAAAGTCCTTCAAGCCCAGCTGAAGGAGGCCGAGGATAAAGTGGCCCAAGCCCAAAAAGAGCTTCAAGACGCCTTGGTCACCAAAGTGTCCGAAATCAAGGATGCCGACGAGAAGGCATATGCCCAGGGCGTGGCCGATGTCACGGAGTCCTATGAAAAGCAAGTCAAGCAAGCATGCAACAAGGGTTTCTCCTTTGGTTGGATGACTTTGCTAAAGAAACTTGATATCCCTGAGGACACCTTCTTGAGGAATGCTGATGTCATTCCCCTACCATTCCCTCCAACTCCACCTCCCAGTCAATCTGATAACGAATCTAATTCTGAGGATGAGGCCGAGGAGGAAGTTTTGGTGAGGAAATCAAAGGAGACTACTGGGACCAAATCCCTTTCTCTGAATGAGCAAGTCCTGGACTTGACTCAAGATGAGGAGGGTGAAGAGGTCCCAAAAGATGCTGCGGCTAAGAAGACATCGGCCGTCGTTCCCCTTGTCGACAAGAGCCTAGATGAAACTTTTGCAGAAATTGACGCCGAGCTCGCGGTGGATAAGACTGCTGAGATGTCTTCCCAATAATCGTCTGAACTTCAAACTCAACCAACTGCTACTGTTGAGGAGTCTTAGCCTTATGTTTTCCCCTTGTTTTCCTGTAATTTGTTTTTCTTTTTTTTTGAAGTACTGTAAACTTTTCCATATTGCCGATGTGTTTTTAATACAACAAATCTTTTACTTTTGAATGCTTACATGCTTGCTTTGTATGCCTCCATACTCGGAATATTTTTGCATATCTTTAATATATACTTCAATTCTCATGCAATCTTCTCTGGGTGACACACCTTAGTTATACAAACTGATGTTTTACCACGGCAAGTACCCAAGTACTTTCCTTGGCATAACCTTGGTTTCATCTTGTAAATTTTTTCATAAAATTT